TCTCTCTCTCTCTCTCTCTCTCTCTCTCTCTCTCTCTCTCTCTCTCTCTCTGACTCAATCATGAACCCCAATTGGAGGCCACCAAGTTTGCTGCTGCCTTGAGGCATAGGCCACCCAAAGCTATTGACTCTTTGTCAGTAGAAAAGATACTGTCTGATGAAGGCTTGGCTCAGAGGTCATTTATCTGATGACACACACAGAAAGGATCAACACTGGAAAGATAGAGAAAGGGAAACTCAAGGGAGTTGACAGTTGCAAAATGATAAGGTCTGGGCTAAAAAAAAATTCAAAACTATTATCAAGAGTCGGGTGCCACTGGTTACAGGACAAGCCACAGAGCCTGGGGAGAGCAGTGGATAGTTCTGGGTCTATAGAGATGTCCCTATGGTACCTCATGTGTCTGGAATGAGAACTTGGGCTTTGGTGCCAGATAGACTTCAGTTCCAGTCCCTGTGCTGCACATCCTAGTTGTGTTTGCAGAGAAAGAATAGTGACATTTAGTCTCAGTTCCTTCATGTGCAAAGCAAGACTAACATTGATTTTAAGAATTAAATGTCATCAAGCTTAAAGGCAGTCACTGTATTCACAACATCTAAATAAGTGTCAGTCATTACTACAGTCATTACAGTCATTACTACAAGCACGTGGAAAGCCATCTTAGGTGGCTTCTTTTCTTCTTCTTGCTGACCCATTCTTTTATACCAACCATTCAGAGACTCCATTCTCTGTCTTTTTGGTCAGAATTTTTTTTTTTCTTACTGGAGAAAGATTTATTCCCATCTGTGTACACAAAGGATCTGAGTCTTGGGAAGTATCTTAGTTGGGGTTTTACTACTGTGAACAGACCGTGACCCATGATCAAGCCAATTCTTATAAGAATAACATTTAATTGGGGCTGGCTTACAGGTTCAGAGGTTCAGTCCATTATCACTAAGGCAGGAAGCATGGCAGTGCCCAGGAAGGCATGGCACAGGAAGTTCAACATGCTGTTCTAAAGACAAATAATACAAGATTGTCTTCCTGGTAGCTAGGACAAGAGTTTTAAAGCCCACACCCACAGTGACACACTTCTTCCAACAAGGCCACACTACTCCAATAAGTCTACACCCTCTAATAGTGCCACTCCCTGGGCCAAGCATATTCAAACCACCACAGAAGGTGATGTGGTCCTGTCTGGAGACATGGCCAAGTGCAATCCTAGCAGAAATAATGGCATCTTTGAATTAAGCAATGGACAATACACCTAGCCACTGCCTTCAGCAGGGAAGGCAGACTTCACAAGACTCATGGAGAAGCCTAACAGAGATTGTATAGGAGGAACTGGTCTAGCTAGTACAGGCAACTTCAAAAGTGATCCCTGGTACTAGAGACCAGGGTGCTCACAGTAGGTCAACAAAATGGAGAGTCTTTAAGGGTCATCCAGACCACTGTTTCCAGAACACATAATGAGGGAAATTTGTAGGTTATGAGTTTTTCCAATTTTAACTATGTTTTAACTATGAATGCAAAAGGCTGGGTTTTTGTTTGTTTACATTTAGGGGGTAGTAGGGAATTTAATTTTGAAATAAATATATTCAAAGAAGTGCATTTTGTCAACACCAGCAGCTGATGACTCACACGTGGCAGAATCTCCAGCCTGGAAGCTTAAGAGTGGAGCTGGGGAACTCCTGTGCTTTGCAATGTTGTGTGGAATCAAAAAAAAAAAAAATGGAGACTCAGACAGTCTCAGCGCCTGGCTGGCAGTCACAGAGTGAATTAGTGGCTGAGTTTAGTCATAGAAAATATACTTCATTGTCCCCTAAACCCCAGGATAATGGGAGAAGTGACACATGGCATTTGGGATCCGGAGACTGGCTGACAAAAGCTTGCATCCCTGCCACAGTATCGAGGATTACAATCTCTGTTGCTTCCTGTTTTCTCCCTTAGTTTCTCCTTTCTGTCTTCTGTGTCTCCTGTGACCCCAATGTGGTGTGAGAGGCTCGGCTGCAGAGGAAGCCCGTATCATTTTGCTCTCTTGGCCTTGGATCACAAGGCTAAGCTGTGGTCGCCTGTGACCTTACTAGGGTGAGGACATGACTTTTAGCTGGAATGGGTTCTTCCTTAACTCCTGTACCAGGGGTGGTACTGGTGTGTGTGTGTGTGTGTGTGTGTGTGTGTGTGTGTGTATCAGGACCATCCCCAGTCTGCCAACCTTGCAAGGCTGTTATAGAAAGCAAAGGAGATTTTTGAAGCATTTTAAAAGAGCAGGGGACACAGTCTTGGACTACTATATCCACAGGCTCCCTCTCAGTAGCCAGGAGGTGCATAAGTGCTGACCCGAAGCCATGCTGGCTCCAAAAGCTGACCCTACTCTGACTCGGAGCCCAGAAAATGCTTCTATTTACCCAACCACCTGGACTAAAAGAAAAACAAACAACCAAAACATAATAATGTGTGCTGGGCTTCATTTTGACCTTTTTTTTTTTTTTAGCCTTCTCAGTCTGCTAGGATACAACTGAAGCCCAGACATGAAAATGAGGTCTGTCCTAGGCTGCTGAATGGTACCTGGGACTGACTCATGACAGGTACCCTGCTCTCAGCACTTCGGAGTCATAGAGTGCTCTGTGAGAAGAGAGAGACCTGGAAGACTGTGACCACTGATGGACTCCCCATCCAATGTACATTCATAATGCAGATGTCAGGCACATCCACATCCACGGTCTTCTGTATACCAATGTTTTAATTAGTATGTATTAATTGTGCAAAGTAATGGGTTTTGTTAAGATATTACTACATCTTTACATTTTGCCTTGGAAAGAGATATGTAGGGGCAGGAGAAAGGGCAAAACTGGGGTTAGCATATGAAGTTGTTTAGATGTTATGATTCACACCTGAAATCCCAGAACCTTGAAGGCCGAGGAAGGAGGATTGGGAGTTAAAGGCAAGTTTTGGCTACATAGTGAAAACTTGTCATATCAGCAACAAACAACAAAAGACAATATGGCTGCCAATGTGGTGGCTCATACCTGTAATCCCACTACTTGGGAGGATGAGACAGGAGGAAAGAAGCAAGTTCTAGGCCAGCCTGTGTATGACTGAGATTCTCTCTCTAAAAGCCAAAAGCCAAATACCAAACCAATAAGAACCCAAGTCTTCTAACCAAATTAGGAAAGTGGAAGTGTTTGTGACAGAAGTAAACCAAGTTCCTTAACAGGACTGGGATTTATAGAATGATTCTGAGTTGCAGCCTTTCCTTCTCATCTAGACCAACCCCAGTAAAAGAGAAAGCTGCTATTATCCAACACCATGCACATATACACAGTCACACAAAGACACAGAGACACACATACATACAGTCACATACACACACTCACACATAAAGAGACACATGTATATACAGATACACCCTCACATACATATACAAATACACATACATACATGTACACATAGTCACACACAGAGACCCACATATGCAGTTATATACACAGAGATACAAATAGACACAGACATACAGAGACATATACAGACATACAGATACACACACATACACGCAGAGATACATACACACAGAGAGACACACATACATACACACATATATGCACAGACATACAGAAACACATATACCTACAGAGACACACATACACAGACATACACATATGCATACAGACACACATACACAAATACATACAGACATGCACATAGACATACATCCAGAGACACAGAAACACACACAATTTTAATGACTAACACTATTGTAGAACTGGCAAATTCAAAATCTAAAGTGTAAGAGACTAGAGATCTGGGGAAAGGTTGGTCTTACAATTTGGGTCAGAAAGCAGCCTGCTGGTGAATTTCTTTCTTTAAGGAATCTGGGTTGGTCCCTTCCTTCCTTCCTTCCTTCCTTCCTTCCTTCCTTCCTTCCTTCCTTCCTTCCTTCCTCCCTTCCTTCCTTCCTTCCTTCCTTCCTCTCTTTCTCTCTTTCTCTTTCTTTCTTTCTTTCCTTCTTTCTTTCTTTCTTTCTTTCTTTCTTTCTTTTCACCTATCAATCTATCTATCATCTATCTATTAACACCTTCAACTGATTAGTGAGGCCTGTCCATATTAGATAGATAGTAGTCTGCCCACAGAGATAGTATTCTACTTTGATTAGAAACCCATTGATTTCAACTTTAATTTTATCTAAGAGAAAAATGTCTTCATAACCTCATCCAGAAACATTTAACTAAATATCTACATATTGGGTATTGCAGCCTGACCAATGGGTACAAATTAACCACTGGGATGTATAAATGTATAACACACACACACACACACACACACACACACACACACATATATATATATATCATACAGAATAACACACACTATACTGAGCATTTACTGTGGGCCAGGCACTATTCTCTTATTGAATAATTTCTAGCTGTGATTGCAGTACAGTACCCACCAGCCAACAAAAATAAGTGGTGATTTCCAACATAGAAGGCAATTGTGAACAGAGATACAGGGGTGTGAGCACCGGGCAGACTGCAGTGCAGGTAACACAGGCAGGAAGGATCAGAAAAACACTCGGACAATTATTTAATCTCCGAGGTTTTTTTTTCTCCTCATGTGTAATGCAGAGTTAAAAATAGTGCTTACTTCATTCACAGAGTGCTGAACAAATATTTGTCAACTGAATCAATGTTGAAGAAATCACCAGGGCTGTCGTCAGAATGACAGGAGTCAGTCTACCGAAAGCCCCTCACACAGTGCCTGATTAGTGAGGGAACATTGTGAATCTGGCTGGTGCACTGGTATACTTTTCTCCTGAACCCTGTAGACACAGAGACATACACAGAAGTTCTGGGACTCACCTCACAAGGAACCAGGCTACAGTGTGGCTCCCAGGAAGCTCTTGTTTGTAAAGGCAGTGACTGGACAGCCATCTCCTAGGCCTGAGTCAAAGGCTGTTTTTTTGTTTACTTCTTGTAGCAGCATCCTGGGGCAGCCAGTTCTCTGCAGCTCCCAAAATGTGTACTTGGAGGCCTGGCTATAATGAGTCTTGGCACGGAGAGGTCTCCGAAGAACCAGGTAATGTGGTCTGGAGCCGGGTGAGTCCCTACCTCTGTGCCAGCATGCTCTGCCAGCAGCTCTGCTAGAGTCCACTCACTGCCTCTCAGAAGAGAATAGCTGCCTTCTTCTAAACCGGTACCTCCCCAGGGGCATCATCAATTAGGCTAATCATTCCCTGTTCTCCTAAAACAAAGTGCACCATTGATGGGATTGATCTGAGTACAAGGACAACAGGGATACTAGAAGTTCATTCATCTTTTAGCAAGGGTTGATGTTGTGTTAATAGTAGAAGCTCAGCTCTGACACTTACCAATGGTGTGCCTTGCTCAACTTTTTCCATTCCTCTTATGACCCAGCATCTTCATCTGTACCATGGGTAATGTCATACCCACTTAAGAGGTTCTTAGGATGGCTAGGCATGTTAACACATGAAAAGTACATAAAAACATGTTTGGGCATAAGATGTGTGCAGTAAGCAGTAACTATTGCTGTTTCTGTTACGATTATTATATCTATTCCTTCTTCCCCCTGTACTATGTGCCAAGAAATTCTATTGGTTTTAAAGGAAAGAGCGCTGAACTGTATAAACACTGTCCCTGATTTTGTGAAGTTTGCATAGTTTTGAGGACGGAAGGAAACCAATAAGTAGATGAAGTTTAGAGACTCACAGACTTGATGGCATACTCTCTGACAAGTATTGTAAAACAACAACAGCAGCAGCAATCTGAGGGAAACAGTGAGAGTCATGTTGAATGTGAAGGTGGGAGGGGTGCAGAAGAAGTAATAGGGACAAGGAACTGTATTCATGATATCTTTGAAGTACAAAAAAAACACGGAACAGTCAGTCATGAGGATGGGAAAGGTCAACGTGGCTGGAGCATCAGGCAATGCCAGTAGACAGCGGCTCTCACACAGTGCCCGCTGCAGATTGTGTGCCTCCCTGACTGGTTTCTATGGCTCCTTATCTGATCGTCCCAGCAGCCGCAGATCAGATCGTGCACACACCTCACATTTCTTCTTTCTTAAGCACAAACTCTCAACCTGGAAGTTTTGATGCTTTAAAAGACAGTCTCAATAGACCTCATAGGCTTATTTTCTTTGGTTGTTATTTGACTGTATGGCAGAATTAATTTTTATTATATAAGCCATATATATTTTCCTTGGGATAATGTGGGAAATTTAAAGTTTCCTTTTACTGTCGTCTCTTGATTCCATTTCTAATTCTGCTTCTCAGAGTTAATAGTGTATGACTTACACTATTAACTAATCTTTTGTGAATTACACACTCATACATTAAATTCTTTTTTAAGACAGGGTTTTATGTAGCCCAGGTTAACCTTAACTCACTGAGTGGCAAACCCTGGCCTTGAAATTCTGATCCTCCTGCCTCCACAGTCCTGGAATAATAGGTGTATGCTCCCATGTCTGGTTATTATAAACACAGCTAGTGTATATACCTCTAGAAAATACATAGACTTTGTTAATAAATACAAGCTAAACTTTTTAGTAGTATTTGTTCAGTGACTTTTTTCTTTCCATCAAGTAGCTTCCATGTTAGTGTATAGGGACTTACATTAATTTTTAAAATTGCAGCATAGTTTCTGATTAGTTTTCCTAGTGCGGAACAGTTGTTGTTGTTTGGATCTTGAATGTTCTCAAAGAATCTGTGTTTTGAAGGATTGTTCCTTATGAGGGTAGTGGGAACCCTAGAAGGTGGCTTAGTAAGAGGAACTTACTAAGTCACGAGTGGTGTGCCCTAAGGGGAGATTCTGCATGCTTTTTGACTCTCTCTTTCTCCTTTTGCTTTCCAGCCTCCATGATGTGAACAAACCTCCTCACCCTGACATCCTGCTCTCCCGCTGACCCAAAGTAGCAGCTGAGCTAAGCAATGATGGGTGGAAGACTCTGAAACCATGGGTTCTCATAACCTTTCCTCTTTGTAAGTAGATTGTGTCAGATGTTTTGTCATGGTGACAAAAAGCTGAAATGCTACTTAAGATACTTTTAAGTGCTTGATATGAGAAGTAACTCAGCAACACACATTGTCACCAGTCAGGGTTCAGTCTAACCAGTAACAGGGAAGTAACTCAGCAAAGCACCTTGTCACCAGTCAGGGCCCAGCCTACCAGTAACAGGGAAGCCAATTATAGGTGTGCTCATCGAGAGATTGAAATCCTGCAGGAAAATGATGCAATCCATAGACTCTGACATACAGGGCGAGTACCTGAACATCTGGAGGACCCAGGACAAACCTGTATGAACAAGGCCCAGAAGGAAGGGGTCTGCACTGGGAGCTGGGACCACAGAAGGAAGGTCTGGGAGAAAAGGAGATTGACTCATCCGTTTCTCCTTTCCTGTCCTCTGCAGTGCTTTAGGCTTTGGCTCATAGAACCTCAGATCTGGCAGTATTCTTTCCATTTCCATTTTACTGAATACTTACAAGAATATTGGTGTTTGTTCTTTTTTGGATAGTCTGGTTGAATTCTGTGATTAATTCATCTAGCCCTGGGCTCTTTTAAATTAGGAGATTTAAAATGACCATTCTTAACTTGTTGGATGATATGGATTTATTTAGAATATTTATTTCATCATGATTTAGCTTTGGTAAGCCATATGCATCTAGAAATTTATCTATTCATTTTAGATTTTTCCAGTTTAGTTCAATAGAGGTTTTAAAATGGGTCCTTAAGATTCTTCGAATTTCTTCAGTGTCTATTGTAATGTCTCCCTTCTCATCTCTGATTTTATTAACTTGGCTCCTCTCTCTTTTTCTGGTTAATTTGGCCAGTGATTTGTTGGTCCTGTTAATCTTTTTAAAGAACCAATTCTTCATTTCATTAATTCTTTGTGTCTGCACATATAAACTCACAGTAGTTATAATAGCGTGCACAAAGTCCCAGGCAAGCTCAGGCCAAGCCAAGCCCAGGATGGAGAGAGGAGGTGGACAGGAAGTCCCACCCCTAGCAGAGGAGGTATTGGCAGTTGGGAGCACAATTGATGGGTATATTGATGGGTGAAATGAAAGAAAAGAGGACACAAAGTTGAGGAAGGGGGAAGGAAAGTAGGTCTGGGAGGAGTTAGGAGCAGAGATGAGAACTCGTTATATGGAATTAAAAAAAAGAAAAAGAAAAAAAGGAAAAGTAGAACCAGAAAAAGGTACATGGCTAAACTAGTCATTCTCAAATTCATTAAATTAAAAGAATATTGCAAGCAAAAATAAAACAAACCCAACTCTAGTAGATTTGGCCACCCTTTAGTCCCTTCTATTTCAGGCTATGTGGGGAGGATCTGGGGAAGAAGACCATGGGCTGAGTTGTAGATATATGCTACATGGTTCCTGAAAAGTTGGATACTTCTCAAAGCCATGAAGAAGGCATGAAAAATACCTAGAACTAGAGGATGTGGGGGACCTGGGCTAGGGGGTTTCAATTCAATTTACTTATGACCAACATAGATTACAATGTCTATGTAAAATTGACATCCAAATCAGCATGAGTATGGTATTTGGAAATGGTGGCTTTGGGAGGGATTGGGATCAGATGAACTCATGAAGGTGTTAACTCCGGGTTGTATTCATGACTTTGTAGGGATAAGAGAGACTGAGGCTAGCGCGTTTGCTAGCGTGATGATGTGTGTCATGCTAGGACTCAGAAGAAAGCCCTCAGAAGATGCTGAGCAGATGTTGGCCTTGTGCTCTTGGACTCCAAACCTCTAGAACTATGAGCTAAACCAAAACCAAATCTCAAAACAAATAAACACCGGTCTCTATCCTTTATAGATTACCCACTCTATATTGTTCTGTTATAGCAGCAGGAAATGAACGAAGACAGTGAGAGGACTTAGGCAAAGGCACACGCATTTCATGGCCAAAGCTTTCCTCTATTACAGAAGAAAGGGTCTATAAGATCAGTGTTCCCCCACAAAGGTGTGTGGGGTGGCTTCGGGGAATAACATGGCAAACTTTCTGTTGCAGCCACAATTTTAAGTCAGTTCTTCATCAAGCCAAAAAAAAAAATCTCAGTTTGATGCTAATACTTTTAATCATTCTTTAAAACATGCTCATCTTCCCTTTTATTAAAATTGGAGCAGACTCTATGCTGGAAGTTTCCAGTAGGTGATAATGCTTAGGCGAATTCAATGTGATTGCCTTTATACTGTTTTTATACCTTCCAGTTTTGACAAGCTACACTCATCTTACATTTGCAAGGTTGTAACAGCTCAGAGAAGCTGTGATTTCAGCAGCTCAATAAAACCCCCCTACTTTTTCTTGCTCATGGCAAGTGTGCTGAAGTCAGTGTAACCCTATAGGCTTTAGAAAGTCTAAGACATTGCTTGCCGAACTTCCCTTTCATTTGAATTCTGTGGAGGTCTCCTTCATACAGAGGATGGTAGACCTCACCTCTACGGCTTCTGACTCTGTGGGTCTGGGGAAAAGGCAGAGACCGAATCCCCAGTGATGCTCCTGCTGCTGGTCTGGAAATCACTGTCAGAAAACAGCTCACAGGCAGCTCTTCTCATGGCTCAGTGATGTAGACTCAAGGGGAATTCTTAAGCATCATCCCTTGGATTGTCTCCATGTTGGAAGAAGTGCTGGTGCCCTGCCTGCAGAAGGGACACACATTAGTTCTTCCTACAACGTACCCAGCAGAACCATTCCAAGGAACCACCCAACTCAAGGCAGTGTGTGGAGCAGAAGGCAGAGGGATGTGTGAGCCTCTCATGTACCCAGACAGAAAGGAGGGAGGAGAAGGATGAGTACCAGACATCTAGATTAGAAGTCTAATCTACATCCAGACATTTAAATAAATCACTCTTAGCCACTGAAAAAGTCATTTAAAAAAAATCTCCTGAAGCAAAATGTCATATAGAGGAAAAATTCAAAGTAAGGAGTGACAAAGAGGGCTGTATTTATGGCCAAAGCAGAGGAGCCATATGAGAGATCCAAGTCCTAATTAGCTGTCATATTGGTGCCAAAGACTATAGCAACCACACCGCCGAGACCCTCGAGCCCATTTCTTTCCTGCCTGAGCTGGTCTCATATCTCCTGTGCTGCTCTGCTCAGAAACTCCATATCCACCACAGAGCCTCAGGTATCCATCTTAAGACTTAGTAGGGGAAAAAGAAAAGCGAAAGGATTATATAATGCTTTTTGTCCCTTTAGAAAATACCCAAACAACTTGATCCCAGGTCGTGGTCTCTTGATGACTCCCAGTATCCTTTATAGTCCTTTACAGCTCCATGGGTCCCCAAATGTGATATGTGGCCACTATTCAGACAGCAGAGGTTTGTGTGTTTGGGGAAGGTTCTGATTCAAGAAGTTTTATAATGCAGTGAGAACATGTGAGGTAGCAGTTGGGGATGATGAGGAGGAAGGGAGAAGGAGACGAAGGAGAAGAAGGTGAAACGCTAGCGCTTGCTATCTGTGCTTCCTATTTTCTTTCAATTTCTTACTGTTTTAAAATAAGCGAGTGCTTTGGAGCAATGTCTGCCGAGCAGCATCGAAAGGCAGCTTTACAGAGAATGAGTTGTTGGGCTCAAAGCGCTACAGTCTGCTTTTGGCTCCAAACCACTGGGAAGAGGAGATGGGAAGAAGGGACGGTTGGCTGGAGCGGTGGGTAACGGAAAGAGCTCTGCTCAAGATGGGGCATGCATGGAGAATCTGGCTGTGTGCCTAGTTATATTTCAGGGCAAATAATTTGTCATTTATTTCTCTGCACCATCCAATGCATTAGAAAGAATTATATATTATTAAAGAAGTAAAAAAGCCATGGGAATAATTTTTTAGCCCGTGTGCCTGGTGTATTAGTCTGCTGTTGCTGCTGTAACGTATTAGTGCCAACTAATGGCTTTCAAAGGCATGAACATGTTGCATCTTGGTAGGTCATAGATCTCAATAGACTAACATCAAGATTTTGGCACTGAATTTTTTTCTAGAGCCTACAGTATTCCAGGTTCAAGGCTGCATTTCCATCTTTGAAGCCTGCAGTATGGCAGAATCCTTGTATCATATTCCTCCTCTTATAGCTCCTTCTTCCAATTTGGAGGGTTCCTGTGATTGCATAAAGCCACACAGATAATCCAAGCAACTTTCTCTAGCTTAAGGCCAGCTAACTGACAATTTAATTCTCCTTGAACGTGTATAACGTCGTAGACATAGGGCATAGATACTTCTGAGTGATGTTTGATCTTGTACATTTAGAACCTCAAAGACTGTTCATAGCTTATCTGAGAGCAGAGCTAGAAACGCATTTAAAGTTCAGTATCCTTTCCTCTCCAGCGCATCACTTTAAGACATGAAAACAGTTAAAACATGAGGTAGGTGGGTTGGGTTGATATCTGCATTCAAGATCAATCTCATCTTTACCAGCTGTAGAAATCTGGGGAAATTACATAAACTCTGTGAATCTCGGGCTCCTGACCCTTAAATGCGGATAATCAGTAACACCTCCAGATGAAAGATGAAGTATAAAAACAACGAAAAATGCTTAGCCCACTTCCGGGACACAATCCCTATAACTGATATGGGAAATAGCATGCTTAGTTTGTGTGCTGGGCAGCTTTATTGTCAGCTTGATGCAAGCTAAAATCAAGCGGGAAGAGAAAACATTAACTGAGGAATTGCTTCTACCAGATGCTTACAGGCAAGTCTGTGGAGGTATTTTCTTGATTAATGATTGATGTGGGACAACCCAGGTCATTGTGAGTGGGTGCCACCCCTGGCAGGTGGTCCTGTGTGCAGGGGGGGGGGTCAGTCAGTAGGCAGCACTCTTCCTCAGCTTCAGTTCCTACCTCCAAGTTCCTATCTTGAGTTCCCACCCCTACTTCTCTTAAGGTAGACTATAAACCATATGGTGTAATTAACTCTGTTCCCTCCCAAGTCACTTTTGGTCACAGTCTTTACCACACCAATAGAAAACAGACTACAACAGGCCTCCTAAG